CAGCTGTACAAATCCGCATAACAACATGCCGGAATTAGCTGAGAAGATGTACGTGGTAGTAAGCCTTGGTGCACTTTCAGTTCTCATTGTGGTCTCAAACGTGTCTGTCTATTCGTTGGTTTGCTTCAACAGAAGATTACGGACATACACTAACTGGTTTACCTTGTCGCTTGCTGCTTCTGACATCCTAACAGGAGCCGTCAGTTTTTATACCTCTGACACTCTTCAAACCCGAATCGGTGGTCGTTGCGTATTTGAGTAGTTTGATATTACTCTGGGGTGTTGGTAACATCTGCGCACTCACTTACGATCGCTTCGTTGCTGCAATGATGCCTCTGAAGTATCCTTGTCGCATACCTAAGATATTCAAAAGAACTTTAGTTGCTGTGTGGTTAATCCCAACAATTATCAGCTTACTTCCTCTGTTCTGGGCAACAGATTGTGCATCAATATTCCACAAGTGGTACATTGCGTGCTTGGAGGTGTTTGGCGTCGTCATTCCGTACATCGTCATAAGCGTCGCTTATATTCTGATTTTTAAGCAAGTGCAGCACAGTTTGGCGTTGAGGAAAAAATTTGTATCTGCGATAAAACAGATCAACGAACCAAGACGTATTTCCCAAGATGCTAAAGTGGCTAAAGTATTCTGCATCATCTCAGCGGCATTCTTATTTTCGTGGATGCCGATCATTTATATTTTTTTGTTGTTGTTTTTTTTTGTTTTTTTTTTGTTTAATTTGTTTAATAAGGTTTTCTTCGGGCAATAACAGCACAATGAAACGAAACATCATTGTTTTAAATACTACAAACTAAGTATGGTACGGTGATAAGAAATCGGAAATTAGACAAAAATGTTCGAATGATAAACAGAGAGATTGAAAGCATCGTCAAAAACCCAAAATGGCGGTTGGCGACTGATTAAGCTGTAAATCAAGACCACCCTATGCACTTTTTTCTTGCGGTTCGCATCACGATAATTAGCAGGTGCATCGAAAAAAAAATAGATTGAAGTACAGGTCCATTATTTTTTTGATTCAGGAAAAATTTTATTCACTGACTAAAACTTTAGGACAAAGTTGAAAAACATAACTCAATCAAATGGGTCATTTCAACTGCCCTGTTACTTCTGTGCCCAAAATTTCGCCTCTATCACCATCGACCACCATCTTGAGTACACGCGAAGATCAGTATTCATTCATTAATTTCCGGTGGAATTTTTTGTACAAACGGCATGTAATAACAAATTAACAGCGAACATTTCGGATTGGGTACAAAAATCTTCGATACCCGAAATGGTCGCTGTGTTGTGAAGTCATACAGTTATTAAATCTGATAACTATCTTGGATTGACTGAGGTGGACAGTTGACCAGACAAAATTCTCTTACCAGAATTAAAAAACTTTTAAAAGATTTGCGCAATGATACCTCAACGGTTTCTTACGGGTTAAAACTGAGTGTCGAACTTATTTTATACGACTTGTTGACAGATTTACATCTGAAACAAGCAAAATTAGCTCTCGTGCGACCTGACCCTTATCAACAACTAATTGAGGGCCAAAGTTTTCACTACACAGCGCACAGTGGAAAGAAGGGTACTCGAATTGTGAAATATTGCCCCGTCATGGAAAAATGCGAAACATCTCCAAGGTCGAAAATAATACTTCAAACTTCAGCGCAGTCCGGGAATGCCTGGCCGCAGACCACGCAAATTGACACCGCTCCCGATCGGCGACTGCTACCATGAAAACAACAATAGAAAACTTACTGACCAACAAAGATACCGTTCATCTCCTTTCAAACTAAATCGATCAGCTGGAAATGAAGTAACATACTTACGACTGTGGGTATCATGATAGGTGTGATTTTCAATGAAGAGCAAAACTACGCTAAATTTCTTTTAGGAAAAGTATTCACCTCTTATACTATTTGACGAACAAATTTCCCAAGTAAGAATTAAGTATGATATTCATCAGATGTTTTGATGCAAGCACACAATACTAAGCAAATAACTGGGACTAAAATTATGTTTTAAATATTTTGACCGAATCACATTGCCAAATAGTTTTTGGCAAAACTTGTCAAGAAGTGTAATAATACACCTTTAAGTCAAATTTTTGTTGAC